ACAGTGCCGCCCACCCCCACCTCCCGCAGTCGTCGCAGAAGGATACCATGGTCGATGGTACTTGAATTGCACACTACCAGCAGACTCCCCAGTTTCAACTGAATCAGAAAGGTTTATTTCAATCCATCTGTAAGGGTTCCTCTCCTAGCTTAAGAAAGTGAAGACTCTTGAAATGGAGTATTTCAAAAGGAACCTTTTATTAAGTAGAATGGAAACCATTCAGTTCAAAGCAATGTCTGAATCCCCTTAGGCAATACGAGTAGAATTAAAGCAGTAGAGACCCCTCCCATTAGTTAGAACACACATTTTAGCCAATACACAAGTGTGAATATGTTTCCTTTATCAACTGCCCTGAGAACTGAATAAACATACATTCCCAATGCTATCTTCCATTAGACCTTAAAGTGAACAATCCCACATGGCCATCATAAACATCCCCCCAAAAGGTGAGGGGATCACGCCAGGAAACCAGTTGTAAAATATAAGTTGTCACAGGCACTGCTAATAATTGGGAGGAGGGACCCCCTCCTCCCAATTGAAAGGCAGTATCATTTTTAGGGATCTGACACTATCTATGAAAGAACTTCAGTGAACTTGTCAACACCTGACAAAGGGGAAACAGTAGGACATAGGACATTATGATTAAATAGAAGAATGCAGCTTAGATAAAGGAGGTAAAGAAGAAGAAACAAACCAACTGTAAGAAATAATTTATAATAAAAGAAGAAAGAGGGCAAAAATTGCAAGAAAAACGAAGAATTGGTCAGCACCAGATGAAGATGAAATGCATTATTTTTGTTTGAAATATCTGATTGGTCTATACTCATTTAACCATAATTCACAAGGAGGTGAAATTGAAGAGTGGCTAACATCTGGCGAAACCTGCCCAATAATAAAAGATCCTGCAAAAGGGACTGCCCCAGGCAACTACAAACCTATTATCTGATTACCAACAACTTTCAAATTGCTAACTGGTTTGGTAGCTGATGCAATGCAATAGCATCTAATTGAAAACAAGCTCTTTCCAGATGAACAGAAAGGAAGCCACTCAAAGAATACAGGGACAGAAGATCACCTCTTAATTAACAAAATTATTTGGCATTGATTACAAGAAGGCATTCAAATCCCTGTCACATGATTGGATAATCAAGTGCCTAGATATAACAGGAGTCAGTAGAAACATTAGAAACTTTGTGCAAAGATCAATTGCACAATGGAAAACACAGTTGCTGTTCATTGTCAACTGGACAATTCTAGTCATTAGATATACATTTGGAATATTTGACTGAATTCAAATTGAACTAAAAGTTCTGAATAAAAAGATCAGAAAAAAATATGTTGACAAAGAACATGGGAGGCATGGAATATTGCAAGTATACCAGATAACTGAAGAAGAAAAAAGAGGCATTGAAAGAATATCTGAAAGACAGTGAAGAAGATGCATTGAAGCTAGTACACTTACTGAGTATCAAAGAAAACAAGATGACCAATAAGAAAGACTAAATGAAGAAAAGAGACATGGCAAGGTAAACAATAGCTAGTATATATTAAAAAAACCTTGCAGGCAAAGCAGATAATAAAACATCTGGTGATGGATAAGAGCAAGAAAGTTGAAGAAAGAGACAGAGAAGCTAATTCTGTCTGCATAAGAACAAACCACAAGAACAAATATATTTCAAGCAGTGAGAAGAGAGCAACAAACATCAAGTGTCCTCTCTGCAAAGTGGAAGAAAGAAACCGTGGACCACCTAGTTAGCTCCTGTAAGAAGATCACACAGACTCATTACAAATGGCAGCATGGCAAAGTAGTATTGGAACATTTGCAAGAAATACCACTTGCCAGAAAGCAGAAAATGGTGGGATCACAATTCAAAGTAATAGAAAATGAAGAATCTAAAATGTTTTCAGACTTTAAAATTCAAATAGACCAACCATCTGCCACTCAACATCCCAAGCTTGACAATTGTGGATAAGAAAGATAAAAAAGTCTGGATAGTGAACATTGCAATGCCAATAGTAAGAGACACCTTGGCTGCAATTCCAAAATATCCGGTGCATTACTTGAACACCATTAACCATGAAAAAAAATCACCATCAGTCAATTGCAAAGGCAGCTTTAGAACAGCTTACATCCCGTTGAGATTCTTTAATACTATTATGCAATTTCTGTCTATTCCTGGTCCGTAGGGAAGTGAATAAAATGCCAAATAGCTGGAAAGGTGCCTAAAAATGCCAAATCCAGTCCAAACATCTGGCTGACTATGTGACCAATCATCATAATAGATGCTCCTGGTCTCGTTCTAATGTCACCTAGGAAGCTGGCCATAGGGCAGCATTACCAAACTTTCAAATGCTAGACTTCCTGAGTTCTGTATCACAATCAGTCATGCACTTACCTGTTTTCTGTTAGGATGGATTTTTCCCTATGTACAAAATGGAGCTGATGTATTAAAGCATTAAGGATTTTATAAAGGAACAACATAAGAAGATGATGCAAATATTTGATCGTATAGATCAAAAATGGGAAAATATAATACATTTAGGAACAATACATAATACATAAGGAACAAAGAATAAAGACCAGGATAAATGGAGCTACCAGATAAAGTGGAACCGAGAGACCAACAAGAAGACAGCAATGAGATATTATTAAAATTAATAGGGAATAGGGAATTAAAACAAGAGGAAAACATTTTAAAAGATTTGGAAAGGGAATGGGAGAAACAGCAAGATAGCTGGGGAAAAGAGACAGGGGTTAGAACAAATAGTTTTAACACTAGACAGTGGGCTAGTAGAGAGGGGAGAGAAAGCTAGAATGCATAGTCAAAATATAGACTTAAAGGCAGATGAAATAAAAGGCTTAAAAAATCTAAAATCAGAGTTTGGGTCCCGTACCCCCCAAAAAAAGAAGACTAAAAATTTGGATGGGGCAAGAGACGTTGGATAAAGGAAAAATATAGGGAAAGTAAAGTAAAAAAGTATTTTAAAAATGTGAAATAATATTAGAATTATACAGTATA